TTCAACACTTCAAAATGTAAGTGCCCAGTTCAAGAAAGTTCAAGGCAATCACATCATTTTTTGGTACCATGAATCAAACGGCTACCACAAAATAATTGTCCTTTAACAAAATTTCTTGCTTTCCTTTGCTTCTTGGTTGTATTTTTTATTTAAAATGAGGTTTGTTTGCAAACTGTGCTTATTTACTTCTTTTAAACTCGGCCGAAGAGATTCCTATGGATCACCAATAAACACATTAGAGAGTGGTTGGTCATCCTTCAACTATTTATCTTAGATTTGGGGTGTGCAATAGACTAACCTCCACTTGGTGTATCCTGGGCAACGTATATTCATAAGGTAAAAAAGGCTTTTTTCGGCAGTTGAATTCTGACTTTAAACTACCATGACATCACTGCTTGTCAAATTCGACCACTTCAACAGTACTCATCTCACCTTTTTTCTGAGTTTGCATCCCTCTGTCTCTTAGCATCTGTAAATCACTCTTCTTTTCCCCATCTCGAATATTTCTCGCTTTGTCTGTTCTTTCCCTCTGTGAAGTCTGAAGTCATCTAAAGAGCTAATGACAAATATCAAAACGCCTGCCATTTGAAATAAATAAATGACTTAGATTTTGATTCATATTTAGCTAACAAGCTTCAGTTTTTAAGCTAATTGTTTGGTGTTTCCATTGTTGCATTGTTTCAATTTAAGTTTTAAACATCTTGTACACTTAATTTTGTCGCTCTAAATTATTCACATATGATTAAAATTTAGTTATTCATTCTATTTCTTTGAAATGAACATCACAATGTTAATTTGAATAGTCTTACTTCTTCATGAAAATTCAGCGAATATATTTCACCCACAGTGTCTAAATATAGCACTGAAGTTCTCTCCCACATTTATGCTATGTAAAGCAATCTATAGGCCAAACGAAATAAATATTTGGTATGATTTCTTTATCCTGAAAAACATTCACTGTTTTTGTCTATTTTAACTCCTAAATCGATGGGTGTGCCAAGGCAATTGTTCCATGCCATGGGTTTTAACAATTTCGGTAGTCAACTTTCCTTGATGATTACTCTAAAGTTAGGAAGCTTTTGATCATTATTCGGGATATTTATCTCGTCAATAAGCCTTCTTTTTGGCTTCCCTTCCCCTAAGCCAATTATTCCATTCTGTTTGTTTAGTTTACCGATTAATTTAACTGGCATCAATTATAGGATATTTTGAGCTCAACATATAGAGTATTTGTGCTCAAAGAAAGATGATAAATGAAATTTAAAAAAATTAGAATAGGAAAAAGAGGATAATTTTAGAAAGAAAGCAAGCAATGATTTACTATTTAGTAGATAATAATATTTAAGAATTTACTTTGACAATCACTCAAGGCAATAAAGTAGACTTCCTCAGAATATACTATACCTATAATTGTAGCGCAATTTTAACACTTTTATAATTCAAAAACCAATTGATAAATTATGAGACAAAGGCACATGAAACGCGAGTTTTAAATTTTGGGCTAAATTGGGCACGATTTTCTCCGCTTATCAAAACATTTTTCAAAAAAATTGTGGTCTAACTTTTGCATCGCACTTTGCTAAGGTCTTTGTGCCACTTTTGACATTGAGTAAATAAACATCTGGACTGAGTTTTATTCAGCTCTAGTTACTTGGAATTTCATTAAAAATTTGAGAAAATATCGCTAATTTTCAACTTTGCCATAGGCGGTCTTTGCGCCTGCGATATATATCAAAAATTTGCAAAATAAAGTGGAGACATGTCAGTTACTTAGTCTCCTTCCGCTGTTCATATGCCACCTTTAGACAGCCATTTTTAATTATCTGACGAAAAATTGCGGTTAAATACAATAATATTGCCATATCTCAATTGTCAATTCCTGTAATAAGTAACCGATTGTCATTCGCAGAAATTTTGAACAAATACAATTAAATCGCCCTTTGACATTATAGTATGAAATATTTAAATGAAACAAAATTACAAAAAATGACATTCCAAAATTATGACGGTTGTATTTTCTTTGTATTAAGTCACCATGGAGGACCCTATTATCCATAAAAAAGAGCTAAGGCAAAGTAACTTTTGAATGCTTGAAAGTGATTATAAAAATTGTCTCTAGCACCTAATTCTATTGAGAGAAATTACTTTCAATTACTTACTTAGGGTAGCGCCTATTATTACGGAATTCATTAATTAAAAACTCGATTTCTATTATTTTCATAATCCGATATAACTTGTCGTCAACCATTTGAGCACCAGCTAGCATTAAACAAAAACATTTGGAAATAAAAATATTCTTTCACTTCTTCCTTTGTTTTTTTCAACAAATGAACTAAATGTTAATTAAGTATATTAGTGATTGATTTGCTGCAATAGTTGCAAATTTATACGGTCAAACGTCGTTAAAATAGAAACCCACTGACTACTTATCTCTTTTATATTGTGGTGCACTTATATCATGTTATTTTAATAAAGTACATATATGAAGGACAATAATAAGTATTTTTTTCCCATTGATTAATTCAATTGGTGCATTTTGAAATTATGAATTTTTTAAATCTCACCGCATTTTAAAATCTCAGAAACATTGTCATTGACTAAAATGTTCCATAATTACAACTTTGTTGCTAGACTTCACTCATGTAAATCGAACGGTCTCTTAACGTGAGTACATCCGCTATGATAAGAACGAAGGCGTCGCATAAGAATGATTGTAATGAGACTGCTTTTCAGCTTTTCAAAGACATAATAAATTTAAATGATTAAAGAAATTGTCAATAAGGCCAGGATTTCAAAATTGCGCTTATGAAATAAATTAATATTTACTGAAAAAATCTAAAATGAACTTTCTCTATCTCCTTTTCGGTTTCGCACTCGATGCCAGTTAATTTTCGGTCATATTGATCTAGTATTTATTGTCAAGGAGTTACAATAATGACATTATTATATTATTGTCCTGATATAGATAGTCAAGTCTTTTAGTCAAATTCCTAGACTTCATATTGATTACCTAAGTTACAAGCTGCTGCAAATTTAAATTAAATAATGCAGGTTTATCTGAAGCTCATTTAAAATGGATGGTGTGACACACTGTCTGAATTTCCTTTGAACAATTACGATACCCGCATAAATAATAAATTTTGTTTGTTTCCAGATGCAAATTTTTCTATGAACTTTGGTAAAAAGCTATTATCCTATAAACTTTGTTCAAAGTTCTTTTTTTCGAGATAAATAAATATTACCACAATTAATGAAGTCTCTTCGTGTGCCTTTAGCAACTAATTTAAAGTTGGCTATATACCAAATGTATAGAACATTCATTTATTTAAATATGATTAAAATAGCAATGTCATCATATAGATGTGAACATTGACGCTATTCAGTATAGTTTGAATGGTACATAAACCCGAAGGGTGACAGTGAGAGGTTATCTTCAAATCAAGTAAAACATTTTATTAGATTTATTATGCGAGTTATTTCATCCTTCGTGTAATTAAACCTAAGAATTCTTAAATATTGGCAAATTGTTCAAGCCGATAAAATACATGGAAATTGACCTGAAAATGAATTGTTAATAATTCTTTGTTTCGTTTTCTCTCAACGATTGGAGGGAAAAGTTATCCGACTAGACATTAAGCAAATTAATGTATCAGAGTTAAGCTAGCAAACCTCTATAAGCTGCTTTCACTCAATAAGACCACTAAGTAATCTTTTTTATTTTAATGAATTCAATTTTCATTATTTGTCCCATCAATTCCAAATCAAATTCTCTATCACAGATTTAATTCATTCAGGTTCATGATGAATTGACTATGGTTTGTTTAGAGCTACAAAATTACTGTTGGCTCAAATCAATTATTTCATGAGTATATTATAAGAAAATTTAATCGGACTGTGAGAAAAGGTGATCTAAGAAGTAGATAATTAATGCACTTTTAAGCTGATGTTTTAAAACTCAAAACCTAAATCAAAGAATCCCTTTTGTTTATCAAAATGTGTAGACCATAATTAATTTATTTAAATATAACTTTATTATATTGACTGGTTGTTAATTTGCTTATAGGCCGCTCAAAGGAAGTACAAATTTAGCTTTCGCATTATTTCGTTGGTGAAGTTTTTCTTTAAATTAAAAGTATGTATAATTTAATGCCAATAAAATTTAGTATATTTCGAAATAGAAATAGATTGGAGATATTTTTAAGAGTTACTTTCAAATAACTGCAAAGAAATTACTCTGTATGCGTGTCAACTCCTGAACCATGATTGGATACGAACGTTTGGTCCATTAAAAGAAATATTTGGTAACACAAATGAAGCTTTACAAAATATTTATGTCTTTTTAATAAAAGTTTTATGATGAATGAAGCTTTTGTTTTCGTAAAAAATATGTTTTATGAGGTATTTAACCATTAGTATTTTTTTAACAATGCAAGTTTGAAGATACTATCTCAATCTTGTGTTTTATGAAGCAGGCAGATTCAACAAAATATTTTATTTCGGTTTGAAAAAAGCATAGATCTTTTGAATAAATTATTAGCATAGCTGCTATATCGCAAAAATTCCAGGAAAAAATCTCTGCAAGCAAAATTTTGGCATTTTAGAAAAAATGGATTAAAACATGATCTATCTAAATCCATTATTATATCGAAACTAATTTCATGAATACGTTGAAACTAAAATAAGGCACAAAAATTGAAGAAAAATTTGCCAAATTTGATACATGAATTACATTAAATTTTAATCGACTTCTTGTACGACCATCTATCATACTTTTAGACTTTGAGAACTTTACTAAATTGAAATCGTAAATCTAGCTTTGTTTTCAATAAGTGTGCCAACGATTTAAGGTTTTATTTCAAGTAGAAGTCAAAAAGTCAATGATGAATTAAGTAAACTTTAACTTATTCATATTCATATAAAAAAGGCTTTAAAAGGAAATCAGAGACTTGAATATATAACTATGAGGCACGTCTATGATACAGAGAGAGAGAGAAAGAGCGTCAACTCACAACAGGTTTATAAACAGCAATTAACTGTACAGGTTCGCTGGCTGTTACACAGTGATTGGGTTCGGGGGAGGTGGTAGTATCAAAAAACTGCGTTCTTGTAAATTTTGGAATTTCAAGAAGTTTTGTGGGCGTTAGTGTATTGTCCGATTTGCTTACTAGGGAGCAATTTTCTTGCATGTTTATCATTTCGCCTGGATTATAGCTGTTGCGTGTGGTAATAGCCGATGCCAGAGTCAGTCTGCTACTATATCCAATAAGCGCCAGGGCATAAAAGAGACCCACCGCTGCTTGCATAAATATGGCTTGAATCTGTGAGGGGATATGCCGATCGCTCAAGGAAATTGACGTGATTTGCAAACACGCAGCAACAGAGGCCATGAAGGAGCATACGAGATGAAAAACTGAAACCACATTTGAAGAGAATAATGCTATACAGGTTGGACCAGCGCCATCAGTATGTGCCGAAAATGCTGTGACTTTAGTATTTTTATTCGAACCTGCGCTTATTGGTCTGCATTCCTGTTGGCAAGAATAACTTGGAGCAACTCTTGAGAGGGAGGGCAAATGCAGTCGATGTCCTTGAAATTTCCATAAGCGAACACAGATATTAATGACAGCAAATGCAACAGGTAAAGCTGTTATGAGACCCCTCAACAAGTTACCTCTGTAATGGAATGCTCTGAGATCCCCAGTTGTCTCATTCAAAAATACTAACTGAAAAGTATTGAGAGCGATTCCACAAACCCAGGGAATACAATGAGCTAGAAGGGAAAGAAAAACTGCATTTCGGTGACTTGTGAAAAAAACTGCCCACGGCTCTATTTTGTTTGCACCAGGTTGAAGAGCGCGTAAGAAAAAAATTAGAAATATGTTTGATATGCCCACAAATATCCAAAAGATAGCCACGGAAATATCAAGCAAAAAAAGAGTCACATTGCAAAAGTGGTTTGCTTGACGATGTGTTAATGGAGCAAAGGAAATTACCGCGCGTGTTGTCGCTTGTAATGTTAAGAAAATTACAGCGCAGACTGTGGCATGTATGTTTAATCCAAGAACAAGTCGACACTTGAGGGAAAAGGCTCTTTTTTGAAAATTTGGCCGTTCTTTGCATCGTTTTCTGTTAATAAGAATTATCCATATGCAAGACAATGAACCAAGTACTAAAGAGCTGCAGAGTTGAATTACAAACTCATAGATTGGATTAATTGAAGGAAATTTAAATTGACTACACGTAATTTGAGTCTCTCGGGTCTCTTTTCCAGAGTCCTTTAATTGTTTATTCGGTTGAGGAGTCTGTAAAGCATCCAACGGAGGCTGTTCTGATAGTGGTGCATCGGCGTGAGGGTGCCAATAGGATGCATTTTCAGATGATGTAAAATTGGAAGGATATGAGCTGTTGAAAAAGTCATGTGGATTACTTTCTTCATGGAAGTTACTTGAATCATCGTTGGATAGTAGCCTTCTGATATCCTCGTTAATATTCCATTTTCCATGTTCATTACGACAATGGACTAAGACTCCTGAGGCGATAAGGCCAATAAGGTAATAGTTAAGTATATTACGTGGTTGAAAAATAGAAGCCGGCATTATTTTTCTACATGTCCTAATGAACACATTACAAGAATTTTGACATCTGGTTAACTGCATTCATGCCTGTTAGTCAGGTGCCACTTCATCTGAACCAATCAGATAGGTCCAATTTCTCAGCCAATCATATTCATATAAGGTGCGAAGCGTGCATTGCAAAAGTCAAGTAGAAAATAATCTTATGAAAAAAGCATTTAAAGAAAATAATTCAGTGATAAGTTACTAAATGTCAGTGTAAGACCTATTCATCCTGCCAGTTACTAAATATAATAAAATCATACTTAAGTAAGAATGTTACTGAGTAGATGGGATAAATTTTTTTGCCTTTTTCAGATCTACCGAAGCTCCAGTTAAAAATTAAAAAAATACTTGTTTATTGATAGTTCTATTTAAATAATTGGAACCAACCTACATCCGGGAGGTGAATAACGTTTATCGCGATGCTTCACAAATGCCATCTAAATAAAGAGATTGAGATAACTGCAGAATTTGCCCCAAACGCTATGGAAAGAATCTCACATAAAATAGAAAATCGCTTTAAAGACTGAAATTCCGCTGTGGCTAGGATTGAATAATACTGTAGAAGACTAAGTCATCCTATCAAAGTTGAAAAGTATTTTGTGGATTGTTAATAATGCAATTCCAGTTAAATTGACACAGTCGTGCTACTCATTTAAGCTTCGCCGGAGTCAACTGCTCATAGAAGTGTCTTGCAAAACTTTCCGAAGAAAGTTCTGAACGGAGTGAAATATTATTCCTAAGGCACACACGTTCAACTTCTTTTCAGCTGGAAAAATATTGTTCAAAATGAAAGACAAAAGACAAAATAGCATATATGGTCTGTCTGGCACCCACTTCAAAAGATGTTCTAAGTTTGCACAAATTGCCATGGTTCGCGCATGTGTCTTCCTTCAAAGGTGGTGTAATGAAAAACCTCCCCTCGCAGTTTTTAAAAGGTGGGTTTAAATTGAATTCAGTTGTTTAGGTGGAATTGTTTAGTACTATAGTTGTTAAGTCAATTTTAATTAATTAATTATTCAATAATGGGCTATATGTATACCAGAAGAAGAATTTTTCAGCAGTGATTTTGAGGAAATTTGTACAAATATTCGTTATAATTTTTTATTAAATCAATTGTATTTATGATTTATTCAGAAGGAGTTTGTAAAAATAAACACGCATATTGTCATTAACAACAAATTTCAAATTCACACTTTTTCCGCTTTCATATTTAAAAATAATTACATAATTCACTTACTTATCTATTATTTCAAACAATTCTTTTCTTTCGTTCATAAAATTCGAGGAACTCAAGTTTAACTGTCCAATGGCTTTGCAGTTACAAGACACTACTTGCAATACATGTTAATTTTTGGGCAAATTTATTCCACCTATCGTTTTACATGCACATAGTATTTCAGTTGGATCTTCTCCTTTGATTCCATTCGTTTGCTGTTCAATTTGAGCTTTAATACTGTCATAATGGATACCAAGAATTAATAAAATTAAATTATTACAAACTTAGTGTTTTAATAACTTTAAGTTGACCTCTATTATTTGAAAAGTGATAACAAGAATGAGTTAAAATCAATTTTAGTTAATTTGAAGCATTTCAAAACAACAAATATGGAGGCTATTTTTTACTAAGGATAGTCTACTGTCTTTCATCGAACTATTTTCTTGAACACTATTCATTGAAGTTAGAAATAATAATTTTTTATCAACTTAACCAAAAAAAACAAATAAAAGTATTGAAATTACTTGAAAAAGGTGATAAGGAGTGTAAAATGAAAGGAATGCATTTGTGTTACTCTATACGGTAAAATTAGTATAACGTAAATTTGTCAATAAAATTTTCAAAATTCCTTTGGAATTATGCCTTTTCCTTGGTTATCCGCAAATAAAGATCAATACTTATGATTACGTTTTTTTACTGTTGTGAATATCACGGTGATATGCTTGAACAAACAAAACTTGCCCAAATTAATATTGATCCAATGCTTAAACTATAATTAAATTGCATTCTTTTTAGAATACTGAATTTTAGTATTTTGACTCAAAATTTATTGATTCCCTTACGAGTCGTTAAGATATATCTATTATTTCATCTTACGTTATTGAAAATAAGCATAAATTCAATTTAGTTTAAATTGAGTAAGACATGCTATAGGTCCACTCTACTGATATGATATTTAATGAATATGATAATTTTGCTTAGAATGATGTCATAAGTTATTAAGGATAATAAATCAAACTTCTCCAATTTTCGAATGAGACCCTAATTTTTTATAGAAATGCATCATCATTAAGAATGCTGTTTAATACAATACTCAGGTTATGAGCTGCACAGATTTTGGAATTTATTGTCCCAAAGCCAAGCATGTGGTGTATATTATGAAATTTCTTGTCGTAATAGAATAGAATCCTTGCACAAGCCTGAGAGGAAAGGTCAAAACAACGTGGTAGCATAAACATTCCTAGTAAAAGCCAGTTACTTTCTTGCCGCTAATGTCAAACGGTGCATTCTTTCTTATTAACTAAGCACATTAATATTTTTAGATCACGTTATTTTTAAATGAGTTTATTTTGACAAACAAACATATATACTTGTTGATTGGAGATTTTAGGCCAGCATTAACTTTATTACTTGGCGATCACCTAAGTGCTATTTAGGTTTCGATTACCTAGACCTACCCTTTAACCTTTTCCATTTTAAGAAAATATATTCTATTAGGTAACTTGTAACATTTGAATGGTGGCTGGCTGTTAATATGAGCAGCATTGAAAAGACTTGGGTTCATTATTTTGGAAGCATGAAGAATCAATAGCTAACAAACTATGCGAAAGTTATGGAGCTCCGAAATGAGAAATGGTGCCTTATAATCACTTTACTAGACTTCCCAAAGGTTATTTGTTTAAGATATATAACTTTAGTAAAAATTCTTTAGTATTGGCACAAATAATTTATGATCAATGCAAGTTTGCCATTGAACTTGCACTTCGTTATTTATCAAGTTCATGAATGATTCTTGAAGTAAACCGCTTCCACACATGTTGGATTTACTAAAAGACTACATGGTGAAATATGTCAAGTGTTTTTTAGTTTATTTCATTTCACAAATAAATTGGTATTACTTTTAAAAACACTAACGATGTTCTATAAGTTCAACTGCATTAGAAATCAAATTAGTTGCAATGAGCACAATGTTCACTGAATATTCATTTTTTAATAAATCTTCATTTAATTTATTTACAAGTCTCCGAATACTTCAATGTTTTATCCATTGCTGTAAAAGTTAAACTTTTCAAATGCTAATTCAGAAGAACACGTAGTAATACACTTCATTTCATTTTTAGCATTTTCGTCGATGGAAAACCATCTGACAAAAAGACAAATACCTGTTTATTTTCCCTACCGCAGTAGTATATAAAAAAATAAATTACAACGTTTATTAAATCAAACTCCAAGGAAATTCATAATTATTAAAAATTACATAGCCTTCATGCACACTTTTACTTCGTAAAATTAATATAGCGTTCCCAGAAAAGTCCTCAAAAATTATGTCAGCAGCTAATCATGATTTTCAAGTCGCTGGATTTACTTTAATAACGGTATTTTATCCTCTCTAATTAAATTTGACGAAGAGAAGGTGGACAGTCTGACATTTTAGCCACAATATTTTGAGAAAAAAAATTTACTTTCAATTAGGAAATCCCGAATGAGAACCAATCGCTGAGAAATAATTTAAAGGTGAAGTGGAAAGGAGCAATTTCTTCGTTTTTCGGAAGTTAGACTTAACGATTAGATAATGTAAGTTGATTTAGATAAATATTAGAATTTTAGTTGTTTAATTAAACACTAATTTCATTAATTCCATTTTGGTAATGCAATGTTGGTCGATAGAACATAATAAAATCAAGTATGTTAGAAGGAGATTTTAGATTTTCTTAAATTTTAAGAACTCTCTCTCTTTGAAGCCGAGTACATCTGGCTATGTTCAGGGAGAAATAATCTTTTCACCCTTGCATAACAGGAAAATACCTTAATAAGAAAAAATAATGCGTAAATTTGTGATTGAGTGCATAATAAGTGATTAGTAGTATCGGATTATTCAAATTCGAGAGCGCTGCTTTCACGTATTTTTAAAGAGTAAGAAAGAGAATTCCTGACAATCCGTCTTTAACAGTTCACTGTCAGGTTCATTAATAAGTACCCTCATGCGTTTTTGCCCATTTTGGTTTAATTGTATCTTTGATTATGTTAGCTTGATTTTGTAAAATCATTTCAACCCAATGACAATTAAATCAGCAACATTATTCTTTACATATTACAATTTAGCACTATTCGCTCAAAAAGGACTACGGTTAGTGAAAATATTATGGTATTATGGATGATTTCGGCCTACAATTGTGATTTAGAGCACGTAATATAAGTTTACATCTTCTTTCCTAATATAATAAGTTAGCTTCAAATGCTCTAAAGACAAAGACAGAAACTCAGGGATACTGGGAAGCCAGAAGACAATTAATGAACTGCTATAATTAACTGCTATATATGCCCCCTCTATGAAATCCAAAGTCATATAAGGGGCTAATAATAAATATTAAAAAGCCTGTCATTTGATATATTTATAAGCTAGCTTAATTATGAGGTATAAATGCAGAACTTACAGTAAAAAATAGGAATCCATCCAGCTAAAAATTGACCTGGTAGTGTATTACAAGACTCTTGTGCGTTTATTAAAATAAGATTATGGAACACGTAATGAAGGCATAGTAACAGTTATTTGCGATCGTTGTTCAAGACGACTGAATAATTAGGATAAAAAATTTACTGAAATTACATAACTGGATTGTTCAACGTCTTTACAACATAATTAGGTCTTATTCTAGTGTCCAATAAACCTTTCAAACAAAGAAAATGCGCTTTTGAAATTTTTTAATTTTAATTGAATAGATTTATATATAAAACTAATTTTTCAATTAGAATAGTTTGAAATGCAAAGATAAGATTTCCGTTTAGGCTTAATTTAAGTAAGGTATCAGTTTAAAGTAAAAATTACCAAACTTTTAGAAATTTATATTCTTAATATCAATAGATTGAATGGTATTCTTAATGTTCGATTGAGAATGAAAAGTTTTCATCCTAAACTTCTTGATTGGAATGATGACCCATCACTATTCCACAGTCGTATTGATTGCAAGTTATAAACCATATCGGTTTAAGTCAAGGCAATTTTTCACAATCTAAAAGATTTACATAGGTTTTGTTCCAGCAATTACTTTGAGATAACTCTTACAATGCTCCAACCAGGAATGCTTAACAAAGTCAAATATTAAAGCAACTTCTTGAAATATCCCACACAATGGATCTAATTAATTTTCGAACCTTGGGAAGGGTAAATTTTAACCAACACTGTCTTTTCTTGGCAGGTGTCTTGAAAAATGTCACTTAAAA